AGATGGGCTCATCCGAGGGGAAAAAAAATGAAAAACTTCCTTTTTTAATTCTGCTTTTAAGCAAAAGTAGGACTCCATTGTTTAAGTTAATGCAAAAACAGACAAACACAACTTTTAAACACGAGATACTGTTGGGTTCAGTAAAACTTGGCCTCTATTTGTATTCTAAATGAAATGCAGCAGTCTCTGACACTGTAATGAGTAAAAGTTTAGCACGGCTAATCACGTATCAGATACACATGAACATGTTAAACAGATTATCCTCCCCATCGTTCTGGTACTTGATGCAAATACACAAATCAGCTTCTGCAACCTCTGGGTTCAATAAAAATGAAATAAAGTCTACTTAAAACACTGTTCCAAGTCTTTTTAGGACAGAATGCTGAGAAAGTATTATTAATATTATGTTGTGGCGTTTAAAACTTTTTTTTGTTTTTTTGAGTGACTTGATAACCCAAAAAATGAATTCAGTATTTCGTCCTCTCAACATCTACCAGGCCATTGTGTGACCCACCCCCTCCCCTTTACTGAATGAAGCCAAAGTGTTCAGAAAAATCAGCCTGGATTCAGCAACCAATTTTGTTTTAAAATCTCCACTTTTAGGTTTGAAAATCTATTCAATTCAAAATGTTTTCATAAGAAAAAACAGCTGATTTAATTTAATTAATGACTTTGCAGGATTTGCTCCTCCCGGATGTTGTTGACTAGAGGATTGGTGTATTCAGCTCTATCAGAGGCTTCGCTGTTCTCCTGCACAGAGCAGGGTTCATCTAGGATTTTTATTAATTTATTCTTGAAATATAGTTTGTTTGCTTTGGTCGGATGCAGTTGATGAGTTTTAATTTGAACCCTTTATGTCTTTATTTTCCACAGAAGAAACCCCAAGCAAAATAAAAATCTGACTCTTCAAACCAGGTGAGACCCTGTTTACTGGTCAGCTGAATTCGGGTGGAGAAAATCAGGAAGCAACGTTTTAACTGGAATTTGAATGATTTATCTTTCATTTTGGAATGTCTCCAACAGCTAGAGACATTCAGCTTCCTGATTTTTTTCATTGTTTGTCCCGTTTTTATGGGAATATTGGAATCAAATGAAGCTCATTTCCGCCACATGAAAGTAAAAAAATGCCAATTAGAAAGTCCTAATTATGATATTCAGAGTCAGAATTTTGAATTAAAAAGTCATAATTATAAGATGCAAAGTCCTCATTTCCACTTTCAAAGTGATAATTATGAGTTGCAAAGTCATATTTCTAAATTATAAGGTCATAATTATGAGATACAATGTCATCATTTCAACTTTCAAACTTTGTATCTCATCAATATGACTTTGTATCTCATTATTATCTCATAAGTATGACTTTGAATCTCATAATTATGACTTTCTATTTGTCTTTTTTTTATTTTTATGTGGCAGAAACAGGCTTCCATAGTAAGCAGATGCTGTGCCCCAAACTAGTAGGAAAAAGAACTGAAATATTAGTTTGTTTCTCTGTATTATTAAACACAAATATCAATTTACCGAAAAATTTCAAGATATCACAGTGTTATACTTTACCTAAATGACCCGGCACCATTGTTTATTTATACCTTCAAGAAGGCATTTGATTGCAGTTTGCGGGGTGTACTTTGTGCTTGTGTTGGGTTAGATCATGTTCACACCATAAACAAACTGCTTTATAGCGTCTTCTCCTTCAAACGGTCTTGCTATGTTTGTTTTGGGCCACATCATGGGGAAAATAAAAACTTAATTTTTATAAGAATAAAGAATTTGGATGGTAGGAAGATACAGCCTTGACCTTGACCTCAATTAAGCCTTCTGAAATTACCTGAGACAAGCCTTAGTCTCTTGTATGCCTGAATAATTTAAAGATACTAGTGAGGGTTGTTTTGTTGTTATTAGCTGGAGTCCCTCAGCCTAAAGGCTGGTTTACACTCAGAAACCAGGTCTGTGTGTTTGTCGCAGTTAACGTAGATACACCCTCGCCCCCTTCCGCAGACACTCTAGTGCACCTCTATGAAATTGTAGGTGAATGCAGACAGGAGGCCTCTGATTGGTTAAATCTACCTCCGCTCTACACTATGCGTATTTCCTGTTTGGCACCTTACTGGCTTGTTTTGTGTGTATGACCGCCATTGTGAAAAACGACTCGTGAAGATGGACCAGCTGCAAGAGCTAGGTGTGCGGGAACGCTGGGACCCTTTTTCCGCCTGGATCCCCGCTCTTTTTCACCCTCATGTCCCTCTGTGGTCGCACAAACTTGCCCCTTGCATTTTTCCACTTCCTCACTGCCTCTGCTGTATCTAGACCCATAGCTAGTTTTTGATTGTCCATCTTGCACTGTGATGTGGAATAAAATAGCGCAGACAACGCTTCAAAATTGTGCATAAATCAAAAATATCTGTGTCATCCCTGCAACAAGCTCACTACGACACACTGCTGCGGGATTAAAACCAGCCCTTTAGAAATTTTATACCATGTTACAAACTGATAGATGTCAACAACTGTGTTTAAATTTCTTGACATCGGGGTGTGATGTGTTGCTTCTTGAAATACTTACCCCACTTAATTATGTCACAAAGGTTCAATTTAAGGGATTTCTTCAGGTATGGTTATTTCTGGTGAAATTCAGTTTAAAAGTTTGTCCAGTTTATGGTGCAAGACTACATGTGATTGGTATAAAAGCAAGCTAGGTTGTTCTGATGGGAAATCATGATTTGTAAACTGCATTTAGACAATCTTTCTCCCTTTTTTTCAACATAACGTTAATAGAAGTAACCATATCAGAGGCAATCAAGCTATTTCATCCAAAGTAGGAGAGTAAATGAAAGTTTAATGCAGTTAAAGTTTACACATTGTAAAAATAATGAGAAAAACGTGTGATTTGTAAAAATAAACCAAAATCTAAGGTGCGTTTTGACTTGATGGTGCATAAAACAAGTAGACATAAAGGATTCAAAGACGGTGGGAGTTAGATTTCAAGATTATAGAGTGATGATGATGACTGAGACAAAAGAAAAGTCTCAGTTTCATAGAGTATCCACAACCTGTGTTCATACCAGGACGCAGAAACAGGTTGGTTTCTGTCCTTCAACACCCCCACACCATTCCTCCCACCCGTTCTCCCTCTATCCCTTAGCTGCCAGTCTTCTCCACAGTGACAGAGATGTTGTTTCCAGATCCCTCCCCTGCCACCTCTGATTAAGGCTGCCATGAGTGAGACACACCTGTACAGCTGACAGGAGACAATGCTAGCGCTTCCTCCTTGAGATTGATTTTCTCCATTAAAACAGACCCTTTGTCTAAAACCCCTGCACCCTCTTTGTTATGCTAAGAAGAAGATGGAAGATTTCCAATTCAATTTGGGCTAAACCGAGGGCCGGTCAGCTTTCCGGGCCTCCATTGTCCTGCTGGAGCCCATTGGGACAACGCTTGCGTCTCCCAAACGCCAATTAAGCCGGACGGAGAGACAGGCAAAGATAATTGACAGGCAAGAGAAAGGCGGCATTCTCTCTCTCTCTCTTTCTTTTCCTTTCTTTCTCATCATTGGAAAAAAAAAATCAAAGACAAGGAGTAACGGAGAGGAGGTGAAGTGTAGGATGAGAGCAAGAACAAGGAGCGAAGAATGGGAGCCTATAATATACAGCCTTGAACAAATTTTAACATTGCTTTGAAGATGACATTGCTAAAACAATGGACGAGAGATCCCTCTTATAATTTACCAATTTTATATCTTTAATTTGGGTCATTTAGATGAACATCTTTAATTCTTTATATAGGAGTTCCTGTGTTTATAGATATTACACTGTGTTAGCTGGAGGTGGGTTTTAATAAAGTTGCTCCATCAAAAGAAAAAAGACATTATCGCCATAGGTTATAACAACAGGATCCTAGAAGTTAGGAAATAGAATCATGCAAATCTTTTTTATCCCCACATGTAGCATGAATTGGCTTTGGATTAATGCTTTTCACATACAAAAGTTGTTCTAGCTTTCTTTCATTTAGATTTGCTAGGTCTACAGGTTCATCCAATTGAAAGTTTCTTACTTTGAGAAAGTTTATTTCTTCAAATTAACAGTTTCTATTAATAAATCTTGTTAACATTCACTTATAGCCCTTGTTGCAGTCCCAGCCTTTGGCGAAGGCTTTTTCTATAAGCGAGTGGCTTCCAGCGGTCTGTTCTGTTTGTCGCTATCAGTCGCCTTGCCAAGAGGGGAATACAAGTGTCTAAATGTTTCTATCCGCCTCCTTCTTGTTTTGCAACCCCCCAGCAGAGCGGGATCATATGGAAGCTTGTTACTAGCAATCAAGCCAATTTAGACGTCAGCCTGTTCTGGACCTTTCAAAGGTCAGCTCTGTTTATACGCCAAAAATGTTCCCAATCTAAACCTTTCTTGATCCGAAAGACTTAATTAACAGTTTATGAAGAATATTATTTTTTCACATTACTTTCTGCATGATAGCTTAAACCTAGACATTTTAGATTAAAGCCACAGATTTAGGTCTAGATTTTGACTTTAAGTTTAATTATGTTTGAACCAAACTTCCATGTTGAAGCATCTCCTCAGAATAAAGCTGCCTCCACATTGTTATCGGGTTAATCTGCTCAAAATGGTGTACAATCTTTTTCTTTTTTTTTAACTATACTGAAATTTTATAGGTCAAATAGTTTTTATCACCTCCTGGACCACAGCACCTTCTTTCATATATTTACTGTGTCCACTGCATGTCTAACTGCAGACTGCATTTTCTATGGCTTTGTTATTGATGCTAAAAGCACACAGTTGTTGATACCTTTAGCGCCTTCAGAGTTACTATGGGTCATGTCATTACCTGTCGGTTCAGATGGATTGAACGAGCCCTTTGAGATGTTCTTTAAACTTCTGCACAGCCTTCACCCTGAAGTCTCTTCTGGTTTTCTTGATATTTGCAATGCAGTTTGTTATCGAAAACATTTCTGAGGCATCCACAACACACAACTCTGTGAATCTGGAAGCAACTGGTTGCAAATTATTTCATTAAGAGTGTCACCAACTGAGGACTCTTTGCAGAATCAGATTTATTGCCCAATAGGTTTGCACTTACAAGGAATTTGACTTGTTGATGTTGCAGAGAAATTTAGATATATCTACAGAATACAGAAACTATGGTTATATTCAGTATAAAACATACAATCTATAGTATATGTAATGCAGGAGGTCTGGAGATGCTATGTTGGTGTAGCTTTGGCATTGTCATTGTCATGGGAGTCTTTGGGCCTTGTTGATAAGGCTGGTAGCAGATGGGAAGAAACAGTTGTTGTGAAGTGATGTGTTGGTCCTAATGGACCGCAGCCTCCTCCCAGAGGGTGGGGACTGAAATAGTTTTACTGGGGTGCGAGGGAACTGCCATGCTCTTCCCTGCATGCCTGGAGAGATGCATACCCGCGTATCAGATGGTGATGGAGGAGGTGAGGATGGACCCAATGACGTAGGAGTAGAAGTGCTCCATCATTGTCTTTGGAAGGTTGAATTTTTTCAGCCGCTGCAGGAAATACATCCTCTGCTGGGCTTTTTTCGTGAAGGAGTTGATGTTCAGCTCCCACTTTAGGTCCTGTGAAATTACAGTTCCCAGGAAGCATCTTGTTCTGATTTAACTTATATTGAATTTATGGCTTTTAAATGCATTTGGTTTGAGAAAACATGGCTGATCTCCAGGTTAAGGAATCCTGGAAGCAACAGGGCCAGTTTATCAGATACATCTAGCTTGTTCTGAGTTCCCCAATTTTGTCTCAGAGCACATTAATTAACTTTGTTAAGTCAAATTCATCTAGGTTTTAGAATGATTCCTCATATTGGTCCTTATTGACATGATGGGTACAGGTGTATATGATAAAGAAGTCAGTAAATTTGTCTTACATCAGATAGAGAAATGAA